GCATTTTGGGTTTTCATGAGCTGTATGCCATAATCATCAGTATTAAAACAATTAAAGACCTGAAATATTTCAGTTGGTGTGCAATGAATCTGCAATATATGAAATTTTCATTTTTATCATTACATTATCGAAAATAATGACCTTTATCACAATACGCTAATTTTTTGAGAAGGACCTGTAAAAGTCAAATGAGTGTTTAATACTTCAAAGGACTGTTTAAAATAAAGATTGGATCCAGAACTGATCCCTGTGGAACACCTTTACCTACACAAAGAAAGCTGGAAGGTAAACCTATTTTCACACAAAAAACTGTTTGAGATAGTTTTTAAATTACCAAACTGTATGTCGACGGTCCAAAACTAAATGTCGACGGTCCAAAACTGAGAAGTCTTTGCTTTAATAAAGTATGTTTCTGCTAAGGCAGCTGTCGACTGTAGTAACGTGATTTTACCCAAGACCAAACTGAACATTAGCTAGATATTCTGAGTAGTTAGATACTTCTTTAGCTGTTCACTGTATGTCTTCAACAGGACAGTTTGGGTTACTCTGCCGCCCTCGGTTTGGCTCCCTCCCTGAACTAGAGCTCCAGTACCTTCAGTGCACGTGTTGTTGGAGGAGCCGGGTTCCCTTGGCGAGCTTCGATACCCTTAACTCCGCTCTCACCTCATCCTTGTCCCAGCCCAGTAAGGAGGACAGCAGCAGACCCCTGGACGACACCTACACCCTCGAACAGAGAAACGCCATCCTCCAGCTCCTCAACACTGCATCTGCCTCAGAGCTGGCCGGCGTGAAGCTACTGAGAGGCCGCAAGGCGCTCAACATTGTGGAGTACAGGAGTAACAATGGTCCTTTTACAACTCTGGAGAGTGTTATTAATGTGCCGCTGCTGAAGCACAAAAGTGCTGTCATAATCTTCAACTCCATCATCAACCCAGAGAAGAAGGAAAGGAAAGAGAAGTTGCAGCTGACAAAGTTTATTCTGCCAGTGGTGGACAAGACCTGGCTACAGCAGGTGAGCTTTCCTTCTGGTTAATTTTAAGTGATGAGTGGTAACTATAGATGCACCGATCCGCTTTCTCAATTTCCGATACCGATATCTGAGGTTTAGTGTTGGTCAATACCGATCTGATACAGAAAAACTGTGCTGAATTCCATTCAATAAACTCAGCGTGCTCTTTAGCTTGAAATCTCTGGAGATGCTTGATTAAGTTGGTAGTGTTATAACTGGAAGCTTTAGTGAGACCCCCTGGAACTGTTTCTGTGCATGTATTGTATTGCACATATCCTCTCTCTCTCTCTCTCTCTCTCTCTCTCTCTATCTCTATCTCTATCTCTATCTCTATCTCTATCTCTCTCTCTCTCTATCTCTATCTCTATCTCTCTATCTGTCTTTATCTTGTGCTCTGGTCCAGTGTCTTCATGGACGATGTGTGTGAGGGTGGACATGTTTGGAGGTTGCTGTGTTGAAGCTCCATGAATCAGCCTCTCTGCAGCTCTCAGCACCTTCACTGAGCCTTGAGAGAATCACTGAGCTGCTGTTGTTCATCACAATTAGAAGCTGGTAGCTCTCGTCAAATGATGATCTCCAGCATCATCTTGTTCATGCCAGGCTTTTCATCCACTGACCACAGACACCTGGAAACATCAGGGGGACCAGCAGCTATTTAACACATCTGGAAGGAAACCAGTGAGATTTTAATATGACCATGACCATTATGATAAGATGTTATGTGGGGGAGTGGTGGCACAGAGGTTAGAAGATGGGCCTGTGATGGGAAAATTGCAGGTTCAACTCCCGGTACCGTCAACATCAAAATGTGGGTGGAAAAGGTGAAACACCCACACCTGCCTCCACCCTCATTGGCCCCACTCTGGGCCCCTGAGCAAGGCACTCAACCCCCACCATCTGCTCCTAAACAGGTCTTTCTAGAAAATGAGTTCTCGTGACTCAGTGAGACTACCTGGATAAATAAAGGTAAATGAAAAAATAAAAGTTTAAAATAGAAATACTCACATCATGAGGTCGAGGTTGTGTGTGTGACGTGCACGTTCCTGAGAGGCCACAGACAGAGCAGCTCCAGCTTTTGTTGAGTTCCTGTAGTCCTGCAGTTTTCAAGCTGAAATGAAAAAACATAATGAATATGAACTTTACAGTCTATAGTTACCTGTACATATAAACACATGGAGGTGTCTCACCTTGTGACTGACAATAAAATATGTAAATTTATGAACTCTAATGAACTGTGAACCGATGGTACCACACCATCTCTCAGTCGGAGAGTCTGATCAGTTTGATCAAAATCCTCCAGTTTAAAATCCTCACTTCTCAGATGAATCCTCCTCAAAGATACTTCCTCCTCTTCCTCACATCTTGTTCTTTGGGAAACCTTCAAAATGAAAACAGGAGATTTGTGTGTACACAAAAACATACTTAACTAACATACATACAAAAACAACTTAAACAAAACTCCATTTTTGATGCATATCTGTTGATAATAAACCAAAGCTACTAAAATAGTGAGTACGTTTGTTAGAAAAATATTCCTGTCATCAGATCTCAGTTAGCTTCATTGCAGCTGAACACCGTGTTACACTGAACATCACATCAGCTGGTGGACATAAATGTAGTAGAACATATCTGTCATATATTCATACTGTTAAAACGGATTCTTTCATTTTTCTGGACTGTATAAAACGTGCATTGAATTTAATAAAATGTGGACGTGAGACGTTAATTATCTTTGACTCACCACGACA